TATATAAGTCTGAAATCCATAGAGCTGAAACCTTAACATAGGGTTGAAACTTTTATATAGGGCTGAAACATTTATATAGGACTGAAACCCTTAGGTACACCTGAAACCTTCATATAGAGCTGAAACCTTTATATAGGGTTGAAATCCTTAGGTAAGGCTGAAACCCTCATGTAGGGCTGAAACTTTCATATTGGGTTGAAATTCTTTGGGGTGAAACCTTTATATAGGGCTGAAACTTTTACATAGGGTTGAAACCCTTAGGTAGGACTGAAACCTTTATATATAAGTCTGAAATCCATAGAGCTGAAACCTTAACATAGGGCTGAAACTTTTACATAGGGCTGAAACCTTCACGTGGGGCTGAAACCCTTAGGTAAGGCTGAAATCCTTAGGTATGGCTGAAACCTCATATAGGGCTGAAACCTTGATATAAGGCTGAAATCCATAGGGCTGAAACCTTGATATAGGGCTGAAACTTTTACATAGGGCTGAAACCTTCACGTGGGGCTGAAACCCTTAGGTAAGGCTGAAATCCTTAGGTATGGCTGAAACCTCATATAGGGCTGAAACTCTCATATAGGGCTGAAATCCTTAGGTAGAGCTGATATCATTATATAGGGTTGAAACCCTTAGGTAGGACTGAAACCTTCATATAGAGCTGAAACCTTTACATAGGGCTGAAATCCTTAGGGGTGAAATCTTTATATAGGGCTGAAATCCTTAGGTAGGGTTGAAATCCTTAGGTAGGGCTAGAACCCTCATATAGGGCTGAAACTCTCATATAGGGCTGAAATCCTTAGGGGTGAAACCTTTATATAGGGCTGAAATCCTTAGGTAGAGCTGATATCATTATATAGGGTTGAAACCCTTAGGCAGGGCTAAAATCCTTAGCTAGGGATGAAACCTTTATATAGAGTTGAAACTTTTAAATAGGACTGAAATCCTTAAGTAGGGCTGAAATCCTTAGGTAGAGTTGAAACCTTTATATAGGGCTGAAATCCTCATATAGGGCTGACTCTCATCCCTGGAAGTTTGGTTGTTTTTTCTTAAGGATGTGTAAATACAACTTAAAAAGGTCCAGTGCAACCACCTGGATCATTTTCCCACACATCCTCAAGCTGATTCCTAAGCAAATACTGATCCAGGGTCAACAAATCCTTTAGAGAGCTCAAACTTAAGAGGTTTTTCTACCCATTCCCCATTGACATGTGCTACCTCAGTTTCCCTATGTGGGTCAAGACTTCTCCATCTCTTCAAGGATAATAAAAAGGTGCAAAACTCCAATTTTAAGCCATTGATCTTCTTCCAGGCAAGCAACCAAAAGGCACCTTCAGCATTGAGCACTGCAGTGCCCGAATGGCTTCACATCTCCGCAAGGACTCGAGGAAAAGATGCTGCTTTGAGTTGATCTGCCCTGGCAAACGCACCTACGAGGTGGGAAATGGGGAGAAAATGGATTTTCTGGGCTGGGTGACCACTAGGAACACAAGCCCATGGTGCCAGGGGTGGGGGAAGAGGTGCAGGTTGGACCTGCAGGGTGAGGGAGGCTGTGAATCTCCAAATTCCTGGTGAAAACCCAGTTTGGTTTACACTGAGGGTGGTGAGGTATTGGCACAGGTTGCTCAGAGAGGTGGTAAATGCTCCATCCCTGGGAAAATCCAAGCTCAGGTTGGACAGGGCTGGACCTACAGGTAAGGGAGACTCTGAATCCCTAAATTCCTGGGGAAAACCCAATTGTTTTTCCACTGAGGCACTGCCAGATGTTTCCCAGAGAGATGGTGGATGCTCCATCCCTGGGAAAATCCAAGGTCAGGTTGGACAGGGCTCTGGTCAGGTTGGACAGGGCTGGACCTGCAGGGTGAGGGAGACTCTGGATCCCCAAATTCCTGGTGAAAACCCAGTTTGGCTTACACTGAAGCTGGTGAGACATTGGCACAGGTTTCCCAGAGAGGTGATGGGTGCTGGGAACATCCAAGCTCAGGTTGGATGGGACTGAGCAACCTGATGGAGTTGATGTCCATCATTGCAGGGGCTGATGGACTAGATGACCTTTAAAGGTCTCTTCCAACCCAACCCATTCTATGATTCCATGGAAATAAACCAAGCAGCACCTTGGAATGTGCTGATGCTTCTCCTTCTTGGCATGACACCTCAGCATGGACCTCCCCTTGGCACCAGAGTGATCCTGAGCTCTCCTGTGGGGCACAAGGGATAAATGGGTCAGAAACAGTTGAGGTTTGGGTTTGAGAAGCCCATCCAGAGCCAGGTTAAATTTCAGTCTTCTCTTTATTGAGCATCCAAGGGAAGCTTAAAAAGTGGTGTGATGAAAGCCCTGACCCAACCCCCAAAGTGAGCATGAGAACCTGCCAGAGCCCCAGGGAGATTTGGGCTGGAGAGCCTTGGCTCAGAGGCAGGAGAGTCTATTCAGTGAGGATTGTGGTTTTCATCTGGATTACTTTAATGAATTAGGCTTGACAGCTTTCCTCTGGGACAGTCTGGCTTGGTTCTGCTGCTGCTTCCCTGCTCTTGGAATAGGGAGATAAAGACATGAAATGACTTTTTCCCATGTCACAGAGGAGAGAATGGCAGCTCCAGGCTCTCCACTCCTGCTCTAGCTGCAAAGCTTTGTCCTCTCCCTCCATCCCAGCACAATAACTGGTGATCCTCTCTCCAGTTCACAGCCCCAAGCCCAGAAGAGGCTGAAGACTGGGTGGACCAGATCCAGTTCCTCCTAAAGGGTGAGTTTGGCTGTGGTGTCCTGTTTGTTTGGGAAGATCCTGGTAGCTTCTTCCCACCCAACTTGGGCTGCTCCAACAACATGTGTGCTCGTTCTTGTCACCATGGCATTGCTCCAATTGTCTTGGAAACAACACTCCAACCTGCCTTGGATACCCTCTAGAAACCACAGGCAGCTTCCCAGGCTCCATTCCTTGGGGCACATGTTGAATTGGGCTCTGATCTTTGGGATTTTCCATCCTTTCTTGGGCTTTTCCTTTGTTTCAGCCAAATTTCAGCTTCTTTGCACCAGTTTTTCTCCACCAGGAGCTCCTGGGCCAAGCAAAGGGACAGTTCCCACCTTGCAGAGCCCCCAGTGAGCACAAAGAGAGGGGCACAGGCTTTGGTACTTGCTTTCACCTGACTGAAAATGAGTGATTTGCAGGTTTTCAGCCCATTTTTACTCTCTCCCCCCAGACCTGAGCTCCCTCACTATCCCTTGCGATGAGGACGAGGACGAGGAGGAGGAAGAGGTCTACAATGACGTGGACAGTTCTGACTCTATGAACACAACATCCCACAACACCACCCTGAATCAGGATGAGCCAAACATGGAGATGGGAGGGGAGGACATCTATGAGGTTTTGCCAGGTAAACCCCCAAAATCTGAGCCATCCCCTCCTCTTGGCCCCTTAGATGTGGGAGGAGACACAACACACTGATGGGGATGAACACCTCGGGCTCTGCTGGGTTTAATGCACTCATAACTCAAAGGTTTGACCCCATTGCCCTGTTCAGGCTGGTTGATGGACCACAAGGACAAACCTTTGTGTCCTGGGGAGGATCTGATGTGTGAATGGAGGTGGAGCAGCTTTTACAGGTTTTGCTCCCTTTAGCCTGAGTCAGATTGAGTTTGGGGAGAGTGGAATCTCTGGGCTGTGTTCCCTGGCAAATCAACGTCGACATGATGCAAATTCTCCCTCCTGGGCATGCAGGCAGGGCCCTAACACAATTACTGCCCCTCCAGGAGCTGATAAAGTAACTGCATTAAGGACCAGCACTTGTTGCCTCACACTGCAGCAGAGCTGGCCACAAACCCCCAAGAGGGTGACATGGTCTGCAACATCTCCCACTGCTGCAGCAGAAATCGTGGTGTGACATGGCCCAGGCCTTGGCCAAAGTGTCACCTGAGCTTTGTTCAAGCTGTTCTGTCTCTGAGCTGCAGCTGAGATCACCCCTACTCTGCACTCTGCACTCCTGACAGCAATATCCCTTGGGGCAGAGTTCAGAGGTGGCAAATATCACCTTGGTTTTCTTCTTTATTTCAGAACTTTCTATCCCTATTGGGTTGGGTTTTTTTATAAAAAAACAAAAACACCAGGGAGTTTTCTTGTGCCCAAGATCTCTGCCTTGTAATTGCTTCCAGAGGAAATGTCTGCTCAGTGATTTGCAAGTGGCATCCAGACACTGCCAGGAGCAGAGCTGCAGCTCCTGGAGCACCTGCACAGCTCTTCTCTTGCCTTGCTGCCCTTTCCTCCCTCCTTGTTTACCCCCTCAGCTCTCTGGGCAGCAGTTTCCCTCCCTCTGGGGGTACCCCCAGTGTCCCTGAGCTCAGCAGGAGCCTCGTGGTGGCCCCAGGTTGGTGTCTGGGGGTGCTGATGGTGTGTCAGCCAAGGCCTTCCAGCACCCCAGGCTGCCTTGGCAGCTGTGCCCAACTCCTCTCTGCCCTGAGGCTGCCAATGCTGACTGGAGCAATATCAGATGTGAGCTCTGATCCCTCTGTGACTAATGCTGATCCTGCTGGGAGCTTGCAGGGTTGGTTAGAGGACACTGCTGTCCCCACTGTGGGATGCAGAGTGGCTCTAAAGAGCTGGAGCCAGGCAGGTTTCCCTGCATCCCCAGGGATGCTGCTGTGCTGTTCCCACACAGAGGTCTGTGCCCTGAGGCTGCAGAGCTGGTGCTGGAGGAGAGAACATCCCAGCCAAACCCTTCCTTTCATTTCCCTGGGCTCCCTGGCCTGCTCATCCCTTGAGTCCACTGGGGTCCCTGTCCTGTTCATTGCTTGAGCTCACTGAGCTCTCTGTCCTGCCCAACCTTTCATTTCCCTGGACTTCCTGTCCTACTCATCCTTTATGCTCACTATGCTCCTTGTCCTGCCCATCCCTTGAGTCCACTGGGCTCCCTGTCCTGCCCATCCTTTCATCTCCTGAGCTCCCTGTCCTGCCCATCCCTTGAGCTCACAGAGCTCTCTGTCCTGCTCATCCTTTCATTTCCCTGGGCTCCCTGTCCTGCCCAACCTTTCATTTCCCTGGGCTCCCTGTCCTACTCATCCTTTATGCTCACTATGCTCCTTGTCCTGCCCATCCCTTGAGCTCACTGAGCTCCCTGTCCTGCCCATCCTTTTATTTCCTGAGCTCCCTGTCCTGCCCATCCCTTGAGTCCACTGAGCTCCCTGTCCTGCCCATCCTTTCATTTCCTGAGCTCCATGTCCTGCCCATCCCTTGAGCTCACTGAGCTCCCTGTCCTGCCCATCCTTTCATTTCCTGAGCTCCATGTCCTGCCCATCCCTTGAGCTCACTGAGCTCCCTGTCCTGCCCATCCTTTCATTTCCTGAGCTCCATGTCCTGCCCATCCCTTGAGCTCACTGAGCTCCCTGTCCTGCCCATCCTTTCATTTCCTGAGCTCCATGTCCTGCCCATCCCTTGAGCTCACTGAGCTCCCTGTCCTGCCCATCCTTTTATTTCCTGAGCTCCCTGTCCTGCCCATCCCTTGAGTCCACTGAGCTCCCTGTCCTGCCCATCCTTTCATTTCCTGAGCTCCATGTCCTGCCCATCCCTTGAGCTCACTGAGCTCCCTGTCCTGCTCATCCTTTCATTTCCCTGGGCTCCTTGTCTTGCTCATCCTTTGAGTTCACTGAGCTCCCTGTCCTGCCCATCCTTTGAGTCCTTCTTCCAGCTTCCATACCTGTTTCCCTTGCTTTTCCAAGCCTCCCCCACTCCCTCTGTGCCCTCTGCAGAAGCTGCTCAGTCTCTCAGACCCCAATTCCCTGTGAATGTGCCCATAGGTGGTAATGACACATCATTGCAGAGGTGACAAACTATCTGCAGGGCTCAGGGACAGCTAGGAGAGATCTGTCTGTCCCAGTCTCATCCCCCCCTGGAACCCTCAATGAGCACAGGGAAAGTCCAGTCCAAGCTGAGCTCTCCTTTGGTTCATCTGCCTCCTTCATGTCCTGAGTGAGAACAGAGAAAGCAAGAGGGAGAGGGGGAAAAAAAAAAAAAGGGAGGGAGTGGAGAGATAATTTCCTCAGCAAGTCATCGTCGTTAATGAAGTTTTACAAAAACAGATACAACCAAGGCAAAATAAAATTTCACAGGTGATAAATTTTTCCAATTTCCCTGGCAGAATTCGATAGGATTGTTAAATTAAGAGTGAAGGTGTCTGTTAGGAAGCAACGAGCAGTGATGGGTAATTTTATAGAGTGGAAAATTGAATCAAATTGCTACATTAAAACACAGCTCCTCTGAGAATCTGCCCAGCACCCAGGCACAGCCACAGTGCTGCTGGGAGGAACAGCACTGCTAGGGGGACTGGCTCTGGGCTAGGGGTGCCCAGAGGGTACAAAACATTATCCCATGGGTGAGGTGGGTGAGGAGAGGCAGCACAGCCCCCAGAGATGCTTTTCCCATCGTTTCCCTTCGATTCAAGCTTGGATATTGGCTGGGATCACACACCCAGGCAGAGCATCACTTCCAGGCTGGATTCAGGAAAACATCTGGATGCAGCAAGTGCAGGGCTGAGAGGTGAAGAGAGGCTCTTTGTGCCCCTATGGAACTTTTTCATGGATTTCACAGCTCAAAATTCTCAGGGAATGTGCCTGGAACCAGCAAGGCAAAGCACAAACCATGGAGCAGACAGGGCTGAGCAGCACCCACTCATAGGTGCCATCCCCACACCATCCCACACTGTGGGGACCAGGAATTGCCTGGAATTTCCTCAGAGAACCTTTGGGAAAAGGCACAGGGTGAGAATTCATCAGGGCAAGGCCTGGAATGAAAGGGAAACTGAGGCAGAAGCCATGGAGCATCCACCTGCCCATGTGTCAGGTGGGTGATGCTAACAGGGATGAGATCCTGGCTTGGATTTCTGGTTGAACTCCCCCATTCCATAAAATATAAGGAAAATGGTCCAAAGTGGGAGAGGAGGCTGCTTGGAATCCATTCCCAACCCCTGTGTGGCTCCTGCATTCCATGCCAAGATGGAATTAGGGGATAGTGCCTTTGGTTCAAGGCTAAAGGAATGCAAGGCACAAGGATTTGGGGCATATATTCCAATTTGGAGGGTTTTATGGCACACAGGAGTTTGTTTGCCTGTTCTCCATCCTATTCCAAGATGGAATTAGGGGTAGTGCCTTTGGTTCAAGGCTAAAGGAATGCAAGGCACAAGGATTTGGGGCACATACTCCAATTTGGAGGGTTTTATAGCACACAGGAGTTTGTTTGGCTGTTCTCCATCCTATTCCAAGATGGAATTAGGGGATAGTGCCATTGGTTCAAGGCTAAAGGAATGAAAACATGAGGATTTGGGGCATGTTCCTGGGAATGGAGGGGGCAGAAGGCTGTTAGGGCTCCATTTCCCTCCTCTTTTCCAAATGCAAAGAGCAGGCAAGAGGCACTTTCCATAATTGATTTGGAAATCAATGCTAACGAGGTTCTGTCTCGTCAGTGCTTGAGTTTTCCAATCAAGGCTGATTTATTTAGGAAAGATTTTTTGGTGCTGCTTCCCAACTAATGGGGGAGCAGGAGCAGTGACCCCTCGACTTGGGATGTGATTTGTGATGGGCTCTGACCTGCTTTGCATCGATCAGCTCTGGCTGGGAGAGAGCAGCAGAGCTTCCCAGAACCCTGGGATTGGCACATGATCCAGGGATGATTCCTGGTGGCTCTGAAGAGCAAAGCCACAACCCCTGAGGTGTGACAGGCACTCCTCTCCTCGGGCTCAGCTGTGTCTGGACTGCTCCACACTCCCCCAGAGTCAGAGAATCAACAGGGTTGGAAAAGACCTCCAAGATCATCAAGTCCAACCCTACCATGGTCACTAGCCCATGGCACTGAGTGCCACATCCAGTCACAGCTTGAAAACCTCCAGGGATGGTGAATCCACCACCTCCCTGGGCAGCACATTCCAATGTCTGAGCACTTTCTCCAGAAAAAATCTCTTCCTAATCTCCAACCTAACCCTCCCCTGGCAGAGCTTGAGTCTGTGCCCTCTTGTCCTGCTGCTGGTTGCCTGGGAGAAGAGACCAACCCCCACCTGACTCCAACCTCCTGTCAGGGAGTTGCAGAGGGTGATGAGGTCTCCCCTGAGCCTCCTTTTCAGCAAATAGTAATATAATAGCAATACAAATACTTTAAATGTAAGGATTGAAATTTCAGTCCTTTTTTTCACACTGACATTTTTTTAACCACTCTTCATCAACAACTTTATTTTGGGCACTTATGGAGAGATCAGAAGGTTCTCCTGAGCCTCCTTTTCTCCAGACTGAGCCTCCACAGCTCCCTTAGGAATTCTCCAGCCCTTTCTTCTTGTGCTCCAGCCCTTTCCCCAGCTCCACTCCCTTCCCTGGACACACTCAGCCCCTCAATGTCTTCCTTGTCATGACATGTAAATTTATTTGTGTGCTCCAGCCAATCTCTACCCATTTTTTCCAGGGTTTCCACAAGACTTCCAGCCCCTCTGGAAGTCCTTAACCTCTTCCATGGTATTTCTTGCCTCCTCTTCCCCCTCCTCCACCCTCCTCTGCCTGACTCCTCTTTCTCCTTCATTTCTCCTTCCATCCCCCATCCTTCCTCACATTTCTGCCCTGGCATTTCTCCTTGGAGTCTCATTTTCCCTGTGAATCCTGCCCAGGAAACATCTCTTCCTACAGGGCACTCAGCAAAGTGCTGCTTAAATTTATGAGGCTGAGAGAGGTGATTTGTTTTTACCAGTGTTAACAACAATTCATATTTGTATGCAACATGCTTTAAAATATTATCTGTGACTTCCTCCCTTCCACTCCTCACAATTAAGCCTGGGATTTATTATCCTGACAGTTGGATGCTCCCAGAGCCCTGTGCCTGCCTGGGGGGGTTGGTGTAGCTGTGGCTCACAGCCCTTCTCTGACTTCTCTGCTCTTCCCTCAACAGATGAAGAGCTGGATCCACCTTTCCCAGAGGACACTGAGGATGCAGAGAGCAGTGAAAGGAGTGGTAAGAGCTCATTTGGATCCACCTTTCCCAGAGGATACTGAGGATGCAGACAGCAGTGAAAGGAGTGGTAAGAGCTCATCTTGCTTTGGCTAACCCAAAGGATGTCCATGTTCTTTGGATGGGTTGGTTTTGGCCACCTTTAACATCTTGGGGTGGTGATGGAGAGTGTGTGCAGGGTGGGAGATCTCCAGGAGCCAAGTGATGAAACTTTATTGGTTTTGGCCAACCCAAAGGACCTCCAGGTTCTTTGGAGGGGCTGATTTTGGCTAACCCAAAGGACCTCCATGTTCTTTGGATGGGTTGGTTTTGGCCACCTTTAGCATCTTGGGGTGGTGATGGAGAGTGTGTGCAGGGTGGGAGATCTCCAGGAGCCAAGTGATGAAACTTTCCCTGGTGAAACACAACTAAATCAGGCTTGGGAAGCTCTTCCCACTTCCTCCATGCTCTGGACATAGGAGAAGCCTCTTCTTCTTGAACAAACACCCCATGGAAGGTGGTTTTGATGAGCTCTTCTTGGAGGAGCCCCAGTATCCATCCCCTCCTGCCTGGTGACATCTGCATGCTGAAGGTTCCCCCATGGAGCCACTTCCATCCCTCTCCCTCACCCCATGCTGGCTGTGGAGCAGGAATCAACCCATCCCAAGGGGAGCTGGGGCAGAAAGAGCCTGGAGTGAGGGCAGGAAGGAAGGGATGGTGCAGAGGAAGCACAGCAGGGAGGGATCCCTGCATGGGAAGCCGGAAGGATGCACACCAGGAATGCTGTGGTCACCAGGGCCCCTCCCTGCTCTTCCCTTAAGGATCTGTACCCTGGGATGGAGCGGAAGATCTGTTTCCTCCCTGGTCCCACCTGCTTGGTTTTCCATGGCTGTTTCCTCCCTGGTGCAGGAAAACAGCTCTTGTGTCCCAGCAGCTGGGATGGACTGGTCTGGGGCTTCCTGTGCCTGGGAAACACATCCTCTGGCACAGCCTGGACTGGGACAGCTTCCCACACTGTTTGGAGCATGGAGGGGATGGGCTCAGCCTGGTGATACTTGGCTGTGGTCCTAAAGTGGGGCCTTAGCCTGTGGAGAAGGATAAGGAAAGTAGAAGGGAAGGGACATGGATGAGTAAGGAAAGCAGGAGGGATGAGATGTGTAAGGAAGGCAGAAAGGATGGGACATGGATGTGTAAGGAAAGCAGGAGGGATGAGATGTGTAAGGAAGGCAGAAGGGATGGGACATGGATATGTAAGGGAAGCAGAAGGGATGAGATGGGATGGGATGTATAAGGAAAGTACAAGGGAGAGGACATGGATGTGTAAGAAAAGCAAGAGGGATGAGATGTGTAAGGAAGGCAGAAGGGATGGGACATGGATATGTAAGGGAAGCAGAAGGGATGAGATGGGATGGGATGTATAAGGAAAGTAGAAGGGAAGGGACATGGATGTGTAAGGAAAGCAGGAGGGATGAGATGTGTAAGGAAGGCAGAAGGGATGGGGTGGGATGTGTAAGGAAAGCAGAAGGAATAGGATCTGGGTGTATAAGGAAAACACAAGGAATGGGATGTTTAAAGACACCAGAAGGGATGGGATATGGATGTGTAAGGAAAGCAGAAGGAATAGGACCTGGGTGTGTAAGGAAAGCAGAAGGAATGGGATGTGCAAGGAGAGCAGAAGGGATGGGACAGGGATATGTAAGGAGAGCACAAGGGACAGGACATACACACATTTTTCTCTCCCTGTCATGCCCTCCTCATCACTTGCCCCCCCCGAGGGAGCAGGCAGCAGGAGAGCAGCTCCCTGTGTGTTTTCCAGCTGGAGCAGAGCAGAGCTCCATGCCAGGCTGGCACAGAGCTGCTGCTGACCCTGCACCCCAAGGCCACCCCCAGGAGTTTGGCTCTCGCCTGTCACAGCCCTGGCAGCTCTTTCACACCCTGCTCACACTCATTAGCATCCACCACGGCTCTAATTGCTCTTAATGGTTCTAACTGGTTGGCACTGGCTGTGTCAGGATTGCTCCAAGCCCTGGATCTGTTTTTCTACTCAGTAACACATTAGGCTTCTGCCTCTGGTAAACCGAGTTGTGCTTCAAGAGGGAAAGGTTGTGGCAGCATCAGGAAGCCAAATCCCCTGCCTCTGGTAAACTGAGCTGTGCTTCAAGAGGGAAACGTTGTGGCAGCATCAGGAAGCCAAATCCTCATGCCTTTTCCTTTGGGAATTTGCACCTCTGTCCAACTGGAGCAAAGACAGGGAGGAGACTCCAGATCCTGATTCCATGATCCTTGAGCACAGGGATGGGCTCAGGCAGGGAGGGAAGCAGCAAGTCCTTAATCTAACCATGAGACATTTGGCTCATGGGAAACTATTGTTCCTCCTTTCTAAGAGCCCCAAAGATGCTAAACCATGAGGCATTTGGCTCATGGGAAACTATTGCTCCTCCTTTCTAAGAGCCCCAAAGATGCCACAATGGAGCAGCCTGGAATTCCAACTGGGAGCTTCAAGCTGCTCCTGCCAGGACACCCATTTGCTCCACTCAAGGCTTTGTAATCCTCCCCTTCCACACTGGATGAGCTTCAGAGCTGCTGCTGTGACAGGAGCTCAGCTGGGCACAAACACAGCCAAATTCCTCTGCTTGGAAGCTAAAAAAAGCCTCTCAGGCTGTTCCTGTCCCTGTCCCAGCCCTGCACTGAGCATGGCAGGAGGTGTCACCCAGTGTGAGCTCAGCAGTGAAATCCCTTGAGCTACACACAGTTGTCATTAGGTTTCAGTGTCAACAGAAGAACGACATGCCCAAGGGAAAAGGGTTGGGGTGGATTGTGCCTCTCCCACAGCCTCTTCCCGAGGCTGCTCAGGCTGCAGAGGGAAGTGATGCTGTTGTCACATTTGGCTGGTTTTGTTGCTGGCCCCAAGGGCTGTAAACACGGAGCAGCTCTCGCCCCATTTCCATCAGGCTCCATCAGGCACTGGGAGATCACAGCTCTGCTGGCTTTCAGTGTCTAGACAGTGTTGGGGCTTTGGAAACACAACCTTTTAGCTGGAAAAGGGAGCAGGGTAATGCAGGAGACCTGGGATGGTTTGTGTGGATTCAACCTGCATCCCACCCAGCCTGGAGCGGGAGCATCCCAGACATTCACCATCCCCTGGGGAGGATGCAGAGGGAAAATCTCCCTTGCCTGGCCTTAGAAGTGTTAAAATGGGATCCAGGTTCTCTTGTTTTGCCAACAGTCTTAATTTTAATTGATTTGAACATGATTTCCATGGTCATTGGCCCAAACATCCCTGTGGCTTTTGGGGCTGGTGCTGGGAGTGCAGCACAGAGCCCAACCACACTCTGATCCAGAGCATCTTCCTCCTCTGGCTCCATGAATCCTGACCTTTGGCAGGCAGGGCTGGAGGGAGGGCTGAGAACATCCATCCATCCATCCATCCATCCATGCAGCTGACACTGGTGGAAAAACACTTTTGGGAGCACAAACCTTCCTATGGGCTAGAAAATGTTCTCCCTTTGTAGTCACAGGATCATGTCCAAGCTGAGCATGTGGCTCCTGTTCCACCAGCAACTTCTCCTTCCTCCTGAGCTCCTGCTCCCACAACATCTCCTTCCTCCTGGGCTCCTGCTCCACCAGCAGCTTCTTCCTCCTGGATGAGGTGGCACAATGCCTCAAGGTCCTCCTGTTCCTCTGATAAGCAGGATATGGGATAAGGAGGCATCTCCCAAACATTCCTGGGAAAGGAGGGAGAAGTGGAATAAAACTGACTCCACATTCCCAGCAGCATCCTCAGATCCCTATCCCAGGGTTACTCCAGGGGCACTTTTGGCTCTGGAAACATCTTATAGGAAGACACATCTTCTATTTCACACCATGTTTCTTATCACTGCGTTGAAATCTCTTTGCCAGCAAGTGAATGGTGTTTCCAAATACCTGTATTTTAATATTCCTTTTCCTGCTGTATTTTGAGCCTTTTCCCAGCCTCATCTCCCAGGAAACAGCAGCAGGTCCCTGCCAAGTGCTGTCCCCCCATCCCAGGCCATTCCCTGCAGTGTGACATCCTCCTCACACCTTCCCTTAACGACCTCTTGTCTTAATTCCCCCATTTCTGCCTCTTCCCTAAGCTGTGCTGGGCCTCATCCTCCTGCTCAGCTCCTTCCTCTGCTTCCAGCTCCTAACTCCTCCTTCCTGCACTTCCCACAAACTTAAATAACTCAGGAGCTCCTAGTCCTTCTATTCCCTTCCCAATCTTTTCCTCACCACTGCGTTCTCCCCCTTTAATACTTTCCAAAGGCTGCAGACCTAGTTTGGTTTGGTTTTTTTTTTCCTTCCCAGCTTTTCTATTGAAGTTCCCCAAGTCCCTGAGTCATTCCAGTGGTTCCCTGCTGTGCCATTACCCAGCTCTGTAATGTCCTTGCTCATATTTAGGTGATCCAATCTGGGCACAACATTCCAGCTGCATCTCAGCTCTCCCTCCCTCGCACCAGATTAGCAACATTTCCTCCAACATGTGCTCCAGATTTTTCAGTTCTGCTTGCTGGGCTTGGGGCAGAGCAGCACAACCCCCTGGAACAGCTCCCAGGCTCCAATCCCCTTCCCAAAACTTGTGCTTTGCCTGAGTTTAATTATCCCTAGTTGGCCCATCATGGATATGACCATGTCGTGACATCTGGATTCAGCCCCACTTTGGTGCTCTCCTGCCTCAAGCCTTTGGTGAACAGTTTTGTGCTTGAAAAATGGGAATTTTGGGGGGGGTTGGGGTGGGTTTTTTGTGATGTCGTGCTTGAAAAATGGGAATTTAGGAGGGGGTTGGGGTGGGTTTTTTGTGATGCTGGGAAGGATTTGTGGATGTGCTGGAATGATTCTCTTCTCCAGGCTGCAAACCGGGCAGAGCAGCATCTCCTCAGGTCTTGGAGCTCCATGAACACTCCTCTGGGTGAATATTTGAGGTTCCTCTGGGCCCATCCCAAAGGATGGGATTCCTACCTTCACCTTTCTGGTCTCTGAGCCAGTTTTGGAGTGGGAAATGCCATTCTGGGATGGCAAAGGTGGAACAATTTCACTCTGCTGCAGTGTTTTCCAGAGATCCCACATTTAACTTAGGGCAATCCCCAACCTTGGCACCATTTCCCACAACCTCCTC